CTGGCTCGGTGCGTGGAGGGGCTGGAAGATGTTCGAATGGTTTGTGTGAGCCCCAGATGCCGGGCAGTGCCTCAGGATTTCTGCCCGCTGGTGGGGCTCGCCCGGCACGCACAGTTTACACCTATGCTGCCCGCCCACCCCGCAGCGAGGCAGCGCCTCTGGGCAGGGAGAGCTCGCTAAGCCTGGCTCTTGTGTTCTGCAGCCTCTGCCTTCAATGTTTGTGAAATTTCTATAATGAAAGTAGAATTATGTTGAGAGTTTGTTTTCACCTTGGTCTTTCCGGCCCATCCTTCAGTGAAAATTGCTGCTGGAATATTTGGGCTGGCACACTGTTAGCCACCAAACACCAAATTTAGAGTGCTGGCTGGGACCTGCCAAAATGCTCGCCAGCCTCTCTGGGCCTGTGAACAAGCGAGCAATGGCCGGGTGGATGCAGCTGATGCTGATTCTGGTCCCAGGGCAGCAGGAGGGAGGACACTTCTCAGGTGCTTGTGAGGAGAGGACAGTGAGACCTCCTTTGAACTGTATTATCTCAATCCTTGTGTTTTTATGTCCAATTCCTACAAGAAGCTGGAGCATCTGAAAGCTTTTCTGGCTTAGAGGAAATCCCAGTAGGATTTTCAGAGCATACAGGAGTACCCAGAGCATAGAAATAAAATGGATAATATCTAGGGCACTGTATTACCAGAACAGGGAATTCGCTGGTGTTGGAATTTCCTTCTCTCTGTAATCACTAGCTGTTAGACTGTTGCAAAAGACTTCTTCGAGGTGGTTACTCAAGAACTACAATGATAACTCAAGTTCAAGGATTCCAGCAACATTTTATAGTAACTTTTTGTTCCTCCCAAGCAACACCTGATACTTATATCCTTTGTATTTTTCAAAACAGCTGTGGATAGTATTGAACAATAATTAGCTGTTGGGAATCCTTGTACTGAAAGTCTTTTCTGTCATTAATATTTGAAAGTTTGCAGGTGTTCCCATGGGCAGAAATTTTAACTCAAAGAAAAACAGCTTTCTCCCTGGTTTTTTTTTGGGTTGGTTTATTTGTTGTTTGTTTGTTTTGAGGTGGTTGTTGTTTTGCTTTGTTTGAGATTTTTTGGTGGGGGGGTTTTGTGGTTTTTGTTTTGTTTTTTGTTTCTTAGGGGTTGGTTTGTTTGGGGCTTTTGGGGTTTTTTGCTGTTAATGATTAAGTGCTGCCAAGTAAATGTTTCTAGCAGGCTGCTTGTGGATCCATCACATATTTAAGTACCTCTGCTCTTCCCAGCTCACTCCTTATTTTTGTGATCTTTGTTTTCTCCCTTTGGTTGTATTCGCTTATTTGTTCTGTTAATCTGAAATCTTTAAGGGCCTCCATCCTCTGATCCCCCTGTTGTTTGGACTGTAAAGAAAAATGGGAAAAGAAGCTATCCCTGTACTAAAATAACTGTCTGCGTATTTAAGGCAAGCAAAGCAGTCCACCCTGCACGGGTGTCTCACCATCTCCAACACCAAGGTTATTGCAGTCTGATATTGCATTGTTTGGGCATTATTGTTGGCTTGTGTTGTATGCACTGTCTGGCATTTGTTTAGATTGTAAGTGCCTGTGCTTTAGTGCTGAAGAGACATACAGGCCGTGACAGCACGTTATTGGTAACATACCATAGCTTAGGTCCTTGCTGTTCTTCTGGCTCTGCAGAATTCCCCCTGCCTTCCCTGTCAGGTGGAGAGGCAGCTGCAGCTGTTGGGCTGTGTGGCTGCATGCTCAAGCACAGATGAGTCTGTGTTACCACTCAGAATTGATAAACTGTGTTTCTGGTCTGAAGGAAAAGTAGCTCCTTTTATTCTGTCTGTACAGCTTTAAATCAGGACTAAAGAACTACAATTTTTCTCAGATTTGTTTGGGGATGCCTTTATTTTCAGGTTTATTTGCAATAGTCTGACACAATTGAATGGAGGTGCACTAGGTTTTGCTGCAGAAATGGTGTTCTTGAGCTATTTCCTGCTTTGGTACTTGACCAGTCACCTGATACAAAAGTAGATCTTATTGCACTATAATTAATGATTGACTGGCTTGGAGTCCACATGTGTTGGTGGGGATATGTGCTGGTGAGGTCCTGTTCTGGACTCGAATGTTTGAAAATCCCTGACGTTTATGGAACTGCTTGTATCTGTGGTGTTCATACTCTTAGGCTTTAACAGAACTCATTTTTTCTTCTCCTGCTTAAACTTCTGCAGTTAGAGAACAATTGCCTGAACTTTCGGAAATGTTGCAGAAGACCATGAGCTGTTGATTCCCAGTGCCTTTTGAAGGAGATTCAGGAGAAATCTGGGTGACTGCCAATGTCTGTGTTAAGGAGTGTGCTGAATGATGCTTGAGGTGTAGGCAGCTACATCACCACAGAACCACGGAGTGGTTGCCTTGGAACAGCCCTTAAGGCCCATCTTGTTCCACCCCCTGCCATGTCCAGGGACACCTTCCACTGTCCCAGGTTGCTCCAAGCCCCATCCAGCCTGGCCTTGGGCACTGCCAGGGATCCAGGAGCAGGGATTCCAGCTTCTCTCTGTCTGCCAGGGCCTCACCACCCTCACAGGAGAGAATTTCTTCTGAAAATCCAATCTAAACTTATTCTCTGTCAGTGTAAAATCCTTTCTCCCTCTCCTGATTATGTTGTCAAATAAGTGTAACTCAGGTGTAGCTGCCAAAATTCAACACTTCGTTATTTTGGTTTTTTTTTTAATGAGGAAAACAACTTAAAGGAGAAATAAATCATCCACAAGTACAAGTGTAGTGACTGTGTTTCAGAGAACTTGTACTGTTATTGCCAAATCTGCTATGCTGGCTATCAACATTTTGAAAAGAAAAATAACATTCAGATTAGTTTGATTTTTTCTACCTAAAGGACAAGGGCCAGATACCAACTCTCAGTGAATCAGCTGTTCTAACCCCATAGTCCACTGCATATCATCAGAGTGTGGTTGGGTTTGTTTCAGAACTGGGGATCCAAACACTGCAGAGCTGGAATTCCAAAATCATGTACCTGTGCAGCAAGTACCTATTAGTCCCTGGAGGAGAGACACTTTCCAGAGATTGCCTATGTAATGTAGGCTTTGTACATCCTGTAGAGAACAGGGGGGGCTAAAAGTGTTTGTGACACAGCTGCCCCAAGTGGTAATCCTGCTTGTGATTTTAGAGACTGAAATGAGTTGTTGGTGCTGCAAGCACTTTAATAATGTGGTTATTTAGCTGTTCTCTTTGGTGAGGGTGTTTGTCACCTTGTTTTCTACAGCACAGTTTCAGGAATGAAGGTTGAAGCTATGCATGCAGATAATTATTTTTTTTTAAGCTGTGGAGGTCAGTGGTGTACCTGATGCATATCAGTGCTGCCGAGTGCACTGTTGAAAAAACAGTCTAGCTTTTACAGATTATTTTTCACCTCACAAACAGACCAAACAGAAGGGAGTAAGTTATAAGAAGATCTGTACAGTCACAAGTTCTAAGATAAGGTTTAATAAAAGCACTTCAGTCTGAGTGGCAGAGGAGTTTTGGGATTCTTTTTGTTTAGTAGTTTTGTTTTGTAATATCTTCATTCTATAGAGAAAATGTTTGTTTTCTAATCTGGATGTGGAGACAGGACTCTGCTCCTGGTTTACATTTCAGTATGCCTGTATCCTCCAGGTGAGAGACTTGGAAGCCGTTGGCCAGGGCAGTGCCACTGGAGAGAGGAGCGGGTGCCTTGTGGGACACAGACAGAGATCTCTGCAGCCAGGTCAGGAACTTGGGGTTCATTGCAGAGGGCCTGGGGCAGGGCCCTGCTGGGAGCTGCAGCCACAGCTCAGAGCAGGCTGAGAGAGGAGAGGGGGAGAGAGGGTGAAGAGCAAGAGGGTAAGAGAGCGAGGTTCCCATTACAATACAATAAATCTTCTGTGTTGAATATTCTAATTCTCACTAACCAATCTAGTACAAGATACAAATCCTATAGCATTTCCATACAGCCTATAAGAATCATTACATCACCATACTGTGTTACTTTTTAAACCCTATAAACTACTCTTTGGACCCTTTCTGCTACTCTGACCCTTGGGCCTGTCTGCAAGCAGAGGGTGTTTTTCCATCAAAAGGGGATTGATTACCTTCAGCCAGCCACACCATTGTTTTCCATTTGTTCAGTAACTGAGGGATCTCAAAGCTTGCTTTCA